ATTTACGTGTTTAGAATAACAGATATTGGGTGTTTCTATTTCTATGAACTTGTTATTCCCATTTGTAATCTCATCACCGAGACTTATTGTATTATTGTGATTTCTAATCTATGCCTACGCAAAACGAACCAGTTTTCAGTTCAAAATAATTCAAATCAGTGATTGTGACTAAACAATGAATCAAAAATAAGAAGAGAATTTATATAAATAGAATGACCTTTTATATTAAAATAAAGTGTATAGTTTAATTAGCCTACGATAACAGTTACATGGTGGCAATGTAAAAATTCTCGTAAAGCAGGTTAACTAAGCGAATTATTATTACATTTTTATACCCTACACCACACTGTGGCCAGGGTATTATGTCTTTGGACATTTGTTTGGAAGATAGAAAAGGGAGCGGGAGGGACCCATAGTTTCTTTTAATGATCTGCCTAGAATCACATTCTGAGTTGATTTATGCATGTCTGCCCGTCTCTACATGTAATCAAAATACAGGTAGCATTTATTGTCCAAACGACCTGTACGAATCATTTGTTTGCAATTTTGTACAAATCAAAGAAGAACCCAAAGACGAAATAGTCGGTCAAAATTTACATATAGCTCCCACATATATCTTCATCCGATTTGCCCTATGTTGTGCTTCAAATATGTTATACTAGTCAGAATAGGATGGAATTTGGCATATACAAGCCTAAAAATAAGTAATAAATTTTGGTGAAAATCGGTTTAGTTTAGCTGTAGCTCCCATATATACTATTAATCCGATTTGTTATTTTTGTACTCCACAACCGTAATATGCACTTCATAACAACGATATTCGGAAAAATATATCAAATATAGAAATATTTGGATATAGCTCCCATATATATCCATACTCGATTTCAAGTTCAAGAGTGGAATATTAATTGAATGGATATAAACAAATTCAGCGCGGAAGAAAGTGCATGAAATTTGGTGAAAATCGCTTCAGATATAGCTATAGGTCCATATATAATTTTTAAATTTTATTGAATGAAAGCAAAAAATGTCGGATATAGCATCAAATTTTAGAATTAGTTAAGATTTGTTCGAATCGGTCACCTTTGGCACGAATTATGGCCCTCAAACGGCCAATGAAACCGTCACACGATGCCCGAATGTTGCTCTGCGGTATTTTGTCTCATTCCCGGCGAAGCGCTTGATTGAGGTGATCGATATTTTGTAGTGCCAACCTTGCTTTCCAAAATACTCCAGACACAATAATCCCACAGATTGGTATCCGGAGATTTTGGTGGCCATTGTGCGCTGGAAATGAAGCGAGGAACCTAATTTTATAGTCATTCTTGGGTGGCGCGTACTGAGTCCGTTTGTAATGTCCAAGGTCTGCGGCCCAAATGTTTGCGTTCCAAAGGCTTCAATACACCACGATCGATTAATACGAGCGGAGAGCGACCATCGGCTGTTATGGCGGCCCGCACCATCACCATGGCCTTCGCTTAAGTTCTGGTGGCCAACCGAAGGTGCACATTTTCAGCTGACCTCTTTGCAAGTAAACACGATCATTTTGTTTGTTTACAAACTGCTGGACAACGAATGTTTTCTCATCGAGGAAAACCAAATTCGGCAGTTCACCACTTTAGCTTTTTTGAGTCTATTTTCTTTCTGTTGCGATGTAAGTTCTTGCACTTTCAATGGCTTTATCCCGAGCTAATTTTTTAATATTTGCCGAATGGAATATTGCGATATGTTTAGCTCATACTTTAAATACCCTCCACCATTTCGAACGAATTTGGCAATTCTCAAAAATAATAAAATCCGATATAAATTCTTTTAAAATCTTAAAAAAAACAAATGTAGCTGGTACATTGGGGTCTATACGTCAACATGGACCTGCATAGGTAACTTTTGTCATAAGCCATTACAATATTCAAATGCGAAACTTAAAAAAAATGGTGAATAATGTAGCTAAAATCATCAAAATACCGAATATCGGTACCTCCTGTTATATGTGGACTACACGAAGACGTAAACCTGCACAGACAATTTTCTGCCATAGGCTGTAGTATCCATTACGAACTTCAAATACCAAATTTGAAACAATTCCGGTGAATAATGTCGCTATAATCATCAGAATGCCGAATATAGGGAGTACCTTTATATGAGGGCTACACGAAGACGTGGAGCTGCACAGACAATTTTCTGTCATAGGCTGTAGTATTCCTCTCAAACTTTAAATACCAAATTTGAAATAATTCAGATGTATATTGTCGCTAAAATCAACAAAGTACCGAATATCCGGAGGTACCGTTATATGGGGGCTATACGAAGACGTGGAGCTCCACACTCTGTCGGAGGCTGTAGCATCCATTTCGAACTTCAAATACCAAATTTGAAAAAAATCTGTTGAATTATGTCGCTAAAATTCTCAAAATACCGAATATCAGGAGGTACAGTTATATGGGGGCTATACGAAGACGTGAATTTGCACATATCATTTTCTGTCTGTAGTATCCATTACGAAATTCAAATACCAAATTTGAAACAATTCCGGTTAATAATGTCGCTAAAATCATCGCCACACGAAATAGGACCCATTATGGCCTACAAATGTCAATTTTCAGACAAATCCGTGAGAAAGGCAAAAATCATCAAAATACCGAACATCGGGAGGTACCGTTATATGGGGACTGTACCAAAACGTGGACCGATATATCTCATTTTCAATACCAACCATCCTAGTCACAATACAAGTTGTTCTGCTAAATTTTGACGCTCTACGTCAAATAATGTGGGATGTTTCGTGATTTCAACAGACAGACGGACATCGTTAAATCGACTTAGAATTTTATGCTGATTATGAATATACATACATTATGGGGTCTACGGCGAATATTTAGGGATGTTACAAACGGAATGACACAGTTAATATACCTTCCTTCCCAAGGTGGAGGGTATAAAAATATGGGCTTTATGGGGTTTCCAATGCCCAATTTAAATGGCAAAAAAATAAATTCTATTCTTACGACAATGGGTGTAAAAGAGTAATTATCTTTGACAATTCCGAAATCATTCTGCCTGAGGTGGACAAAACTATGGAAATGCAAATTCCAAACTACAGCTAACTTGAATGGAAAATGTTGCTAAGATTATTACAATACCAAAAATTGTGCTGGGTTTTCACCTGGGGCTATTATAGATGTTCTATTTCATATAGGTTTTTAACACTCAAATCAAAGCCAATAGGTGAAAAATAAGATCGGACTATTCAAAATACCTAAAACCGACGGTAGATGAACATCTATTATAATTATACCCTACACCACAAGGTGGTCAGGGTATTATGTCTTTGTGCATTTGTTTTTAACATGCAAAAGGAAACGAGATAGACCCATAGTACCTTTTGATGATCTGCATAGAATCACATTCTGAGTCGATTTATGCATGTCCGTCCGTCTGTCTGTCCATGTATTTTTGTAAACAAAGTACAGGTCGCATTTATTGCCCGACCCAGATGAAATTTTGCACAGATCATTTGTTTGGTCCGAACCCTATTGAAATTGGAGATAATCGGTCAAAATTTAGATATACCTCCTATCTTCGTCCGATTTGCCTTTTATTGTGCACCAAACGTGTAATATCAGCACGAATTGTATAGAATTTTGTATATACACCCAAATTAGGCCTGAAAATAAGTATGCCAAATTTGATCGAAATCGGTTCAGATATAGCTATAGCTCCCATATATTTTTTTCATCCGATTTGTTATTTTTGTCCTCCTCAGCGGTAATATACACTATGCAATAACAATATTTGGGAAAATATATCAAATACAGCTCAGAAATACATTTGCTAAATTTTATCGAGATCGGTTCAGATTTGGATATAGCTCCCATATATAACTTCGTCCGATTTACCTTTTATTGTGCACCAAACGTGTAATATTTGTCTAAATGGGATGGAATTTGGCACTTACGACCGCTAGTATGTCAAATTTGGTGAAGATCGGTTCAGATATAGCTATAGCTTCCATATATATTGTTCATCCGATTTGTTATATTTGTTACCCCCAGCCGTAATATGCACTACGTAACAACGATATTCAGGGAAATATATCAAATACAGCTCAGAAATACATAGCTCCCACATATATCTTTATCTGATTTCAAATTAATTTTGCACCAAATGGGTAATACAAGTCCGAATTTAAAAGATACAAATGCTTCGGCATATTTAGTCCTTTGAACTTTAAATTATAATTATAATCATAGCGTGTATGATTGAATTCTTCCATAAAAAAAATTTTAATTGTTATGTGGAGCTCTACTAAATTAGAAAAGTGGTGTAGGGTATCATAAAGTCGGCCCCGCCCGACTTTAAGACTTTCTTTACTGGTTTTGCTATGAATATATGAATATATATGGGTCAGAATAGAACCCTATTGTTTGTGGGGATGATCGCACGATATTTAGGAGTTGAAATGGACCAAAAACAGAACATTTTCCTGATTTTGCAGTTGCTCTATAGGTCACAATTATGAACCAATAGAAGCGAAAATTTACATGGAGTTAGAGTTTGGGACTGGGCAGAAACCTACCAATTTGAGCGGCCATCGGACAATAATTAGCGGGTAAAATAGACCCTAACTTTTATGTTAGAAAATAGGAAAATTTCCACTAAACCGCGAATATTTTTAATCCCAGCCAAATCAAAAATACATTAAAAGATCACTTCTGACCATTACAGTGATTCTAATAGCCAAGAAATCGGATATTTAGCAAAATAGGTACAATACATATGTAAAACAATTGATCTTATTTATTCTGCTTATAAATCAAGAACCGCTGGGCCGATTTTCACAATTCCCATCAATTCGGAATGGTCTTTTGCCAGAAAAGGATAAAATCGAAGAAAATCGCGGAATAATATACCAATAAAAATTTATATCTTTTGTTTAATTTTTTTTTCATTTTTGTCATATTTTTTTATCGCATGCGATTTTTTCAATTGGACTTACAATTTTGAATTTTAAATTTTCGAAATTTTTACACCCCCCAACACTACGTTTTGAGGGTATTATATGTATGTCGCAATTATCGTCCGATTCTCACAAAATTTTGCATGGGGGTAGGGTTGGAATTGAAGCCTATTGTTCTTAGGATGTGCATTTAGAGGTTTAAATGGCTAAAAAATTTAATTTTTTTCTAATTTTGTAGTCGTTCTATACGCCACAATTGAGAACTAATCGACACGGAATTTCGCATCGGAAGAGAGTTGAGGACAGAGAAGAAGTCTAGCATTTTGGATGATCATTGGATTATATTTAGCTATAAAATGGAACACAACTTTCGTGTGCAATTCTTTGAATGCTTAACAATACTACGGAGTGCGTAAATATTGGCCAAATTCTCCGGGTCAAAAATCTAAGGGTAACTTCTGGGTAGGGCACTTTAGCATTATTTCAATGGAAATGGATATATATCCAAATGGATTTGGATATAAAGGGACTTCGAACATATTGTAGTGTTGTAGGGTATTACATGCTCGGCCCCGCACGACTATAGCCTTTGCTTACTTATTTTATCTGTATTCGGTTCGCTATACCATACACGTGGAACCACTGTGCCACGTTATAATTTATACAGAGAATATATTAAAAATTCGTCAATTCTTCGAAAATTTGGGTCTTCAGTTTGTATTTCTCCGCCAATAAATATATTTGAAATTCTATGAGATTTTACATTTATTATGCAATGACCTTGATCATTGACCGTTTAAGACGCCGCACAAAATCAGATAGGAAGGTAGATAAACAAAAAATGTCACAGCCTTTCAACTTGTGTGTGTTGACCTATCGACCTTAAAACCCAAACAAAAAAAAACACCACAAAATGTAAATTCCCACACAGACAAATGGGAATGTAGCAGAAGTTGCAACAACACAGGGTGTTATGTTTAATTTTTTTTTTAATTTATTCGTAAAAAAATACAATATGACTAATATGATGAGTTTATATGTGTGTGTGTTCGTTTGTTTGGAAAGAAACAATTTACATACAATGCAAAAAAAAAAAAGAAAAAATATACTAACAAAACAATAACAATAAAATGTAACAAACCAAACAAAAATGGCAACAGAAAAAAACAAAACAAATAAATGAGGTGAATTTTCAATAATGGGGCAAGATGATCGGCACTGGCTGGTGTAGCTGGCTGGCTGCCTGCCTGACTTGTGGGCAAATGATGTGGATTACAACAATTAGCAAATCTTATAATTAATGGTTTTTAGCCACTGATGAAACGATGCGAATTGGTCCAAAGAGACGGTCTAACAATTTAACCTAAAACATGCGGCATTAATTGGTTCACAATGAACCCGAAAACACCATAAACGATCTTCATTTTCCCACATAGGCTTACGAAAGACGCACAGGTAGCGCTCGGGCAGTGAGTGATTGAATGACGAAGAGTAGTCGTTTGAAAAATTACAAATTATGATTAAAGCTAATCAGTGCTATAACGTGTTGCCAAAAACGCAACACGGCATTTGAAAGGGCGCTGGCATGGAAATGGTGTTGAAGATGGCTGGTTGGTTGTTGGTGAGATGTCGTAACGGAAATGCCACTCAACATCAGGGCAAAGAAATTGGGCCACATTTCCTCGCACATTTCAGCCGCTTCAGTTTTTCACAATACGCCTGCGGCCTTTTGCTGTGACCTTTTTATGATTACGTTTACGGCGTGGTGGCAAATAGCCATGCGACTCAGCCACATGACTATCCGTCACATCCTGGTGGTCATTGTAGATTTTCACGGTTTGCACGGTTTGTTCACGTCCGCTGACAACTTTGACGACACGATGTTCTCCCTTGGGTTCCTCGTTACTGGGTCCCAGAATTTTAATGGTCTTTACGCCGCTGTGATCCAAAGATTCCAAAACTTTGAGAGTTTTCACGGTGTTCGGGTTGACAATTTGCACGGTGCGAATTTTAGCCGAAGCTGTTGGAGCAACAGACACCGTTGGGCTGGTGGTGCTGCTCGATATGGCGGTGCCAACAAGGGAGCGACTGCTGGGAATTTCCTGGCGTAAATCTTTGGGCATGAATGCTTGCAGGGCTTGACGGGTTTGGTGATTAAACGTGGAGCTTGCAAAACTATGGCTGGCTGTTTGACCATAGGCTTGGGTGCCGATTGTGTTTTGGGCATATGACATGGCTGGGGCGTAGTACTGGGGCCTGCTGGCAGCTTCTTTGTACATGGGAGCAACGTCATGGGTGTTTGTGGCGACCGCTGCTGGTGGCGGTCCATATTCGGCAAAGGGCTTCCGGGCACTCCCATAACGTTCAAAGGGCTGTACACTGGTCATGTAACTGCTCAGAGGATGCATGTGACTTGTTTGAGCTGCAGTGGGGGTTGGATGTGCATTAGCAAATGGTGGTAAATATCCAGGTCCTTGATATGTTGAGGGTAAGGCATAAGAGGGTCTAGGAGCATTTGAGACGGGTGGCAAATAGGCAGGGGACTTGAAGTTAATATTGGCTGGATTTGGTGCCACCAAAGAGGCTGTTTGCAGCCCAGATGTGGAAACTTGAGAAACTGTGTTGGACGGTAATTGGGCCGAAGATTGTTCATGTGCTCCGGCATTAGTTACGGGAGGTAAATATTCTGGACCCTTGAAAGGAGTCTGACTGGCTGGGGGTAAATAACCAGGAGCCTGGTAATTGTGGTTGTGACCACCCGATTGACTTTGTGGGGATGATCCTTGATGGACTTCAGTTTCGGCAGGTTTTTGGAAATCATAGCCTGGAGGCAAGTAACCGGGAGCCTTATAGTTGTTGTTGTTGCCAGGTATATTTGTTTGGCTTGGTGCCTGATTGGTTGTTTGCTCCACAGGTTTTTGGAAATCATAACCGGGTGGCAGATAACCCGGTGCACTATAACTCTTCGATTCCCTTTCCGACTGTCCTTGACTTGGTGGTGGCGGCAAATAGCCTGGGGCCTGATAGACATTCCCTTGGTTTGTCGATGATGGGCCAGATGGGGATGGTGGCAAATAACCTGGAGCCTGATAGGAACCACCTTGTGGTTGTGGTGTTGACGATGGTGGCAAATAACCAGGAGCCTGATAAGATCCTAAACCTTGTGTCGTTGTTGTTGTTTGCTGTTGGCTTGGTGGTGGCAAATAACCTGGAGCTTGATAGGCTGGACTTAATGGCGCATTACCTGGCTTAGGTGTGCCATAGACAATATTTGAAGATTGCTGTTGACCTGCAACGGGTGGCAAATAACCAGGAGCTTGATATGAACCTGCCGTTTGTCCCAGATTCCTGGATTGCACTTGACCTCCAGCAACTTGTAGATGTGCTTGTACCGTAACCTCTTGACTATTATTGCCGGCACCATTATCATCATCATCATTGGGTAAAGTGTGAAGCTCGGAGATGGCTGCTTCGGAGTTTTCAGGTTTTACAAAATCATAACCAGGTGGTAAGGCACCAACAGCCGTAAAGGTATTTTGTGTAACACTCTGTTGCCCGGCACTGGCTTGGGGTGGTAAATATTCCGGGCCCTTAAAGTTGTTTGAGCTTGGCGGTGGCAAATAATCAGGTCCTTTGAAGGGATTGTTGGGGAAACTCTGACCACCTGTTTGTGGTTGGCTGGACGTTTGATATGATCCCTGGCTTGTGGCTGGCCCGCTTGAGCCGGGCGAAGGTGGCAAATAGTCTGGACCCTTAAATGGTGTATTGCTTTGGTATGATCCTTGATTGCTAACACCGCCACCATTCACACTTGGTGGAGGTGGTAAATAGTCGGGACCCTTAAATTGGCCATTGGTTTGATATGTGTTCTGATTTGTTCCAGCTCCTGCTGGTACGTTATATTGCTGATTATTTGATAAGTTGTCCTGATAAGATCCTTGATTTGTTGCACCACCTGTAGGTGGCAAATATTCCGGAGCTTTGTACTGTTGAGTTGTGGAACCACTTGGTTGAGGTGGCAAATAATCAGGACCCTTAAATGGATTGTTGGGCTGGAATGTTGGTACCTGTCCTTCGCTGGGTGGCAAATAATCTGGTCCCTTGAATGGCCTATTTTCACTGTCTGTCTGGGGAGGTAAATATTCGGGTCCTACATTTTCCCCACTACCTGGTACAGGTGGTAAATATGGGCTACCCTTAAATGGTTTGGCTTGAGGAGCCCTTTCTTGAGTTGTATAGGAATTTACAAATGTAGTTTGTTGTAGTTGTTGCTGCTTCTGATCTTCATTGTAATTACTCTTGCGGGATGAGGATTTTTCTGGGAACACATGACGATAGTTTGAGGGGAATGGTATGGGAATTTGTTCATTATTCGATACAACCTCATTTTCTTCAACCCTTGGTCCATGGTTTTCAGCAGCACCATCGGTGACAATTCTCAGCAAGGTGGCATCTAAATTGGGATCATCCAAAGGAAAGCCGGGCGGAGCATTTATGTGTTCTATGCGTATTTTTTGGCTACGTCCTGACGACGAACCGGAATTTCCAGCTGGACCATTGTAGCCGTTATGCACCTCGAATACTTGATATTTAGAGTTGCCATATTTCGATTCTTCGAATTTTTGTTGTTCATTTCGTGCAGTATTTTCGGAGATTGGGGGTAAATATTGGCTTTGTTGTTGTTGTTGTTGTTCTTTCAATTTTAATGAAATATCGGCAGCGGCAAAGCCCACAAAAAGTAAACCAACAAAATGGGCAAGAAGCTGGGCGCCATTAATAATCCGAAAAGTGGTGACATAAAAATAAAAATTAAAAATATTAAAAAAATAAATATTTTTTAACGCTTGTGGGAAACTGAGCGGTAATCCACAGTTGCTCGTTTGCTCCCCACAAAAACAAGAAACGATGATTTTTTTTCCTTACCTTCATCTTGATGTTGGTCTTGTGTATCTATCGAGGTTCCAACATGCAATGTTACTACTAACTGACCTATCCACACATTTTATATCAATCTAATCTTCCAATAAACGAATCTAAGTGGTTTTTTGTTTCATTCATAAAAAACATCTCATTGATCTCATGTCTACTGCTTCTTCTGTTTTTCTCATTTCATCTGAACACAACTCATCTCCATTGTGTGTTTGAGTGGCGCATGCGCACAACTCTTCACAAGTTGTTTGAATAAACAGCAACAACACTAAAATTTTACAAATTAATAATCCCAACCAGTATTTTGGTGTGATCTAGATAGGTGTCGTTATCTGTTAGACGATCGGTATCGTTGCCTTACTCATAGTCTTTAAACTTAGTAGCACAGTGGGGAGGGGAGATCACATTTTTTTTGTGAATTTTGGAGAAAAATTGTGGAGTTTTCAAGCTTTTCCGAAGTCGCATACTTCAAATTTTCAAAAAACTATATCAAGTATTTTAGCTGTTTCTACTAATTAGGATACGGCCAGAACGTGCCACATCGAAACAACCGTTTTAGACCCTAGGTCTCTTTGGACCAAATCGTTTTTAGGACATTTTGGCTGGCTGGTGCGCACGATAATTCTCCGATCTAGGTCCAAACTTGGTACATTGTAATATTATTATCAAACTTATATCGAGTTCGGAAATGGGCAATATTGGGCCACTCCTTCTGGTACCTCCCCCACAAAAGACCAAAGAAAATATTTTACCCTATACAACAAGAAAGTATTATCCAATGTTGTAAAAACAAATCCCAATATTTGTATCCGCGATATTTTAGGTGCGAAAATGGACAATTTAGGCCTAATCCGTCATGTATCTCCCACACAAAGGGTCAAAATTTTATATAATAATAAATAATTATAATTCTTATAAAATGTCAAATAAGACATCGAGTGTCTTCAATTTCTCACATCTGAATATTTCTATAAACACAAATTCGGATGTGAAGATGATATATATCTGCCCACTCCTTCTGGAACCTCCTCCGCAACGGGTCCAAAATTTTTAGCAGTCATGAAGTTCGTGAAGGGCGAAGTGAACATCCCCTTATTTTTAAAGTTGGTACATCCCAATATTTCCATACACACAATATTCGGTGTGAATATGGAATATATCCGAATACTCCTTCTGATACCTCCCCCACAACGGGTCAGAATTTTGAATATCAAAACGCTCATAAAATACGAAATAAGCTTCCGATTCTCTTCAAATTTCACACATACCAATATTTCTATCAACACAAGACCAGGTATGAAGATGAAAGATATCGGACAACTCCTTCTGGAACCTCCCCCACAACGGGTCAACATTTTGAATAACCATGAAGCTAATGGAACGTGAAATGAGTATCCGATTCCATTCGATCTTGGCACTTCTCAATATTTCCATCAACACAAAACATGTTATAAAGATCATAGCGATCGGATCAATCGGTCGGTGCCGGTCTCTCAAAGGTTTAAAATTTTGAACAACCAAAACGATTATACAATCCGAAATAAGCATCCGGTTCTCTTAAAATTTCACACATGCCATTATTTTTACCAACACAAGATTTGATGTGAAAATGAGATATATCGGCGCACTCCTTCTGGCACCTTCTACACAAAGGATCAACATTTTTAATATCAATGGCGCTCATAAAATGCGAAATTAACATCCGATTTCATACAGACTTGGTACATCTCAATATATCCATCATCACAAGATCTCTTATTAAGATGAGAGCGATCGGACCATTTCTTCTAGTACCTCCCCAACACAGGGTTCAAGATTTGGAAAAACCAAACGTTCAAAGAAAACGACATAAGCATCCACCAACACAAGATCTGCTGTGAAAATGAGATATATCGGCGCACTCCTTTTGGCACTTCCCCCCAAAGAATCGAAATATTCAAAAAACATTTTACTGCACAGAAAGAGAAAGGATAATCCGATTTTGCTCCAACTTTGCAAATCCTAATATTTGCATCAGTGCTTGATAAGGTGCGAAATTGGACAATATCTGTCCACTCCATCGAGTACCTGCCCTATAAAATGTGATGTAAGAGTCCGCTTGTCTTCAAATTACACATATCACAATATTTTTAGTATCCCATGGTCCGGTGTAAAGATGGAATATGTCGGTCCACTCCTTCTGGTACCTCACCCCCAAAAAATCGACATTTTCTAAAAAACATTTTATTGCAAGGATAATTCGATTTTGCTCCAACGTTGCAAATCCTAATATTTGCATCCGGTGTAAAAATAGAATATGTCAGTCCACCCCTTCTTGTACCTCCCCTACAAAGGGTAAAAATTTTGAATAGTCATGAAACTCATAAAACGCGCAATTAACATCCGATTCCATTCGGATTTGCCACATCTGAATATTTCTATCTACACAAGATCTGTTATAAAGATGGTAGTGATCGGTCCATTCCTTCTCACCCCCCCCCCCCACCCCCCCCCCCCCCCAAAAAAAAAAAAAAAAAAATTGCAGACTAAGCATCTAACTCTCTTCACATTTCAAACATACAAACATTTTTGCTTACACAAGATCTGTTGTGAAGATGATAGATATCTGCCAACTCCTTCTAGAACCTCACCTCTATGTATGCATGTCCGTCCGTCTGTCCAAGTATTTTTGTAAACAAAATACAGGTTGTATTTATTGTCCGATCCAAATTAAATTTTGCATAAATAATTTGTTTGACCCAAGGACGAACCCTATTGAAATTGGAGATAATCGGTCAAAATTTAGATATAGCTCCATATATATCTTCGTCCGATTTGCCTTCTATTATGCACCAAATATGTAATATTAGCCCAAATGGGATGGAATTTGGCACTTACGACCAGATTAGGCCTGGGAGTTAGTATGCACTCTGTAACAACGATACCTTTGCTAGTATGTCAAATTTGGTGAAAATCGGTTCAGATAAGGCTATAGCTCCCATACTTATTGTTCATCCGATTTGTTATATATGTTCTCCACAGCCGTAATATGCACTCCGTAACAACGATATTCAGGGAAATATAAGCTCAGAAATACCTTTGACAAATTTCATAGAGATCGGTTCAGATTTGTATATAGCTCCCATATATATCTTTATCCGATTTCAAGTTATTTTTTAATAAAAGTCCGAATTGAAAAGACACAAACAAACAAATTTAGTCCTTTGGACTTTAAACTATAACTATAATCATAGTTGGTATAATTTAAGTCTCACAAATTTCCCACAAAAACTTATATTTGTTATGTGAAGCTCTACTAAGATTTTCCGACCGACTATAAGATTTTCTTTAGGTCCGAAACGTAATGGAGAAGCCTTTTGTGTTTGCAAGATAACAATAACGTAAATTACCAAATAATGGATTTTCCATTCATTTGTAAATACTTACAAATCAACCTACCAACCCATTACTTTCACCAGTTCATGACACCCGAAATGTGTTGTTATTCTTTGGCCAGAATTTTTTTATTTTTACTTAAAATTTTAAATATAACCACCATTATAAAGTTTATTAAAATAAAAAATTAAAATTTATTAAAAATATCCCCTAAAATTAGTAAACCTTAAATTCTTTTCATTGAAACTTGCACATGAAGTGGATGGCACTTGTTACCTCAAGATATTGTTTCCGAAATGTCTTAAATTTGGTTTGAATCCAATATCTTTTAACGAATAAATCATAACACCTATGTAGGTGAATACAAAAACGATTTTCAAGTGGCGATTGTTAGTGTTTCAAAGACGTTGGCTAATTTTTGCAGCAAATGAAATAAAAATTGAATGGCATTGCCATGGGAACCAGACGATCATGAACACAAGAGCTTTTAATTGTTCTTGGAAATTTGCGAAATATTTTATTTTTTTGTTATTTGTAATTTTTTTTTTTTTTTTTTTTTGCAAATTCCTCAGAACATATCTGCACGTTTATAATATAACCGATATTAGCCCACTATGAACTCCAAATACGAAATTTGATATAATTCTAATATAACTAAAATCCTTAAAATACCGCATATAAGGGGGTAGCGCTATATGGAGGCCATACGAAGGCGTGGAGCAGTACAAGAATCTTTCCGGTGAAAAATGTATCATCAAAATACCGAATATATGGAGGTCCAATTATATGGGGACTATACAAAAACATAGACATACGTGGACATTTCAATGCAAGGATATTTTGTCACGATCGACCTGTACTTTGTTTACAAAAATGCATGAGTAGGCGGAAGGGCAGAGTATATTTACAAACCAGTCAGGAAAGGTCAAAATTCGGAAAGGGCCGACTATATGACACCCTAACACCACTAAGTGTAACAACAAAGTTTGTAGTGGAATTTATGTGAATTAGATCGTACCAACTATGAGCCTTATTTGAATGCGCATCATGGTTTCAGAGAAGTCACAATTTGGGAACTTATTTGACGGAGGCTTTTATAATAATAATATTACTGAATAGTGCATGATATGACTTTGATAAGGATTATACAGGGTTGTCCATATTCGACGGACCCATCTGGCAACGCCATAACTTTTGACAGAGATGTCACATCGCTTAATGACATACCACGTTTGAAGCGTCAGTCCAATCAAATTTTTACCATAAACCAATACACGCCACGCGAGCGCTCTGAAATTTACATTCAACAGAAGAAGTCAATTGTGAAAACTCAACGTGCTTTTAAAACATTAAAAAATGTGAGAAGTGCGCCTTCTAAGAGCACCATTAAGCGTTTATACGAAAAATTTTCGACTGGTAAGGCTCTTTCTAATCCGAAGAGGCCATATAAAAGTCGACCAAGGCGATCGGCCGAGAATATCGCTGCGTACAAGCCAAAAGAGTCATGGGTCCGTCGAATATGGGCAACCCGTATTAAAAAAAAGGATTATATTAAAAGATGTATATCGAAGCTATATAAAACTCTGAACCGATCTCGATAAAATTTGGCAGAGATATTTTCGAGCTGTATCTGATGTCCGGTATCAAATATCCTTGTTGTGGAGTGTATATCACGCATGTGAGGGACATTAACAACAAGTCGAATGAAACATATATATGGGAGGTATAGCTATATATCTTAACCGATTTTCACCAATATTTGAATTGCTTTCATCGGAATTTGGGCTGATAATAGTCATTTGGTGCACAATAAACCTGAAATCGGATATAGATATATACGAATGCTATATCCAAATCTGACCCGATCTTGACGAAATGTGATAAAG